AATGCTCAGTGGCTAGTGGATCTGAGGGCAGACCACAGCGACCTCCCTGAACATGGTCCAGTAACCATCACAGTGGCAGATATCCAAGAAAGGGTCTCCAGTATGAAGAGTTGGACAGCACCAGGGCCCGACATGGTTCACGCCTACTGGCTAAAGAAGCTGACTGCACTCCACGAACCTCTGGCAGCACAAATGAACCAGCTGCTAGTTAACGAGAGACACCCGGAATGGCTAACCGAAGGTCGGACAGTCCTGATCCCCACCCAAGGACCCCAAGAAGGGACCGGTCCCCTCCAACTACCGACCAATAACCTGTCTCAGTACTACATGGAAGCTCCTGTCAGGCATCATATCGGCTAAGATGAACAGGCACATGGGTCAATACATGAGCGGGACACAGAAAGGAATTGGCAAGAATACCAGAGGCGCAAAACACCAGCTACCGGTAGACAGAACAGTCAGCCGAGACTGCAAGACCAGACTGACCAACCTGTGCACGGCCTGGATTGATTACAAGAAGGCCTATGACTCAATGCCCCACAGCTGGATACTGGAATGCCTAGAATTGTACAAGATCAATGGGACCCTAAGAGCCTTCATCAGGAACTCGATGGGGATGTGGCGTACAACACTAGAGGCCAACTCCAAGCCCATAGCACAAGTCACCATCAAGTGTGAGATCTACCAAGGAGATGCTCTGTCCCCACTGCTGTTCTGCATAGGCCTGAACCCCCTCAGTGAGATAATTGACAAGACTGGCTACGGATACCGACTACGGAACAGAGCAGTTGTCAGCCACCTCCTGTACATGGATGACATCAAGCTGTATGCCAAGAGTGAACGAGAAATCGATTCACTGATCCACACTACCAGGCTATACAGCAATGACATTGGAATGTCGTTCGGACTGGAGAAGTGTAGTCGGATGGTAACAAAGAGAGGGAAGGTAGTCAGAACTGAGGGGATTGAACTACCAGAAGGCAACATTGCAGACATAGAGGACAGTTACAAGTACCTGGGGATCCCGCAGGCGAATGGGAACCATGAAGAGGCCGCTAGAAAAGCTGCAACCACCAAGTACCTGCAGAGGGTCAGGCAAGTCCTGAGGAGTCAGCTGAATGGTAAGAACAAGATTCGGGCCATCAACACGTACGCCCTGCCCGTGATCAGGTACCCTGCTGGAGTAATAGGCTGGCCAAAGGAGGAGATAGAAGCCACTGACATAAAGACAAGAAAGCTCCTGACCATGCATGGAGGGTTTCACCCCAAGTCCAGCACCCTGAGGCTGTACGCTAAGTGGAAGGAAGGGGGCCGGGGACTGGTGAGTGTCAGCACCACAGTCCAGGATGAGACAACGAACATCCAAGAATACATTGGGAAGATGGCCCCAACTGACCGAGTGCTCAGTGAATACCTCAGGCAGCAGAAACCCAAGAAAGAGGAGGGAGACGAGGAACCATCATGGAAGGAAAGGGCCCCTGCACGGTATGTACCACCGGCAGATAGAGGAGGTGGCTGATATCCAGAAATCCTACCAGTGGCTGGACAAAGCTGGACTGAAAGACAGCACAGAGGCACTAATCATGGCAGCACACGAACACGCTCTGAGTACAAGATCCATAGAGGCTGGGGTCTATCACACCAGGCAAGACCCCAGGTGCAGGCTGTGTAAAGATGCCCCAGAGACAATCCAGCGCATAACAGCAGGGTGCAAGATGCTAGCAGGCAAGGCATACATGGAACGCCATAACCAAATGGCCGGCATAGTGTACAGGAACATCTGTGCCGAGTATAACCTGGAAGTCCCGAGGTCAAAATGGGAGATGCCCCCGAGGGTGGTGGAGAATGACCGAGCTAAGATCCTGTGGGACTTCCAGATACAGACGGACAAAATGGTGGTGATCGATGTAGCGGTTCCGAATGACAGCAATATTAGGAAGAAGGAACACGAGAAGCTGGAGAAATAGAAGAGCTCGAGAGGATGTGGAGGGTGAAGGTAACGGAGGTCCCCGTGGTAATCGGAGCCCTAGGTGCGGTGACTCCCAAGCTAGGCGAGTGGCTCCAGCAGATCTCGGGAATAACATCGGAGATCTCTGTCCAGAAGAGCGCAGTCCTGGGAACAGCTAAGATACTGCGCAGGACCCTCAAGCTCCCAGGCCTCTGGTAGAGGACCCGAGCTTGAAGGATAAACCGCCCGCAGGGGCGTGCTGGGTATTTTTATATATATATATAAATATATATGTATATATATATATATGTATATATATGTATATATATATGTATATATATATGTATATATATGTGTGTGTGTATATATATATATATATATATATATATATATATATATATATATATATATATATATATATGTGTGTGTGTGTATATATATATATATATATATATATATATGTGTGTGTGTGTATATATATATATATATATATATGTGTGTGTGTGTATATATATATATATATATATATGTGTGTGTGTGTATATATATATATATACATGTATACATATATACATATATATATATATATATACATGTATATATATATATATATATGTATATATATATATATATATATGTATATATGTATATATATAGGGAGTGCAGAATTACTAGGCAAGTTGTATTTTTGAGGAATAATTTTATTATTGAACAACAACCATGTTCTCAATGAACCCAAAAAACTCATTAATATCAAAGCTGAATGTTTTTGGAAGTAGTTTTTAGTTTGTTTTTAGTTTTAGCTATTTTAGGGGGATATCTGTGTGTGCAGGTGACTATTACTGTGCATAATTATTAGGCAACTTAACAAGAAACAAATATATACCCATTTCAATTATTTATTTTTACCAGTGAAACCAATATAACATCTCCACATTCACAAATATACATTTCTGACATTCAAAAACAAAACAAAAACAAATCAGCGACCAATATAGCCACCTTTCTTTGCAAGGACACTCAAAAGCCTGCCATCCATGGATTCTGTCAGTGTTTTGATCTGTTCACCATCAACATTGCGTGCAGCAGCAACCACAGCCTCCCAGACACTGTTCAGAGAGGTGTACTGTTTTCCCTCATTGTAAATCTCACATTTGATGATGGACCACAGGTTCTCAATGGGGTTCAGATCAGGTAAACAAGGTGGCCATGTCATTAGTTTTTCTTCTTTTATACCCTTTCTTGCCAGCCACGCTGTGGAGTACTTGGACGCGTGTGATGGAGCATTGTCCTGCATGAAAATCATGTTTTTCTTGAAGGATGCAGACTTCTTCCTGTACCACTGCTTGAAGAAGGTGTCTTCCAGAAACTGGCAGTAGGACTGGGAGTTGAGCTTGACTCCATCCTCAACCCGAAAAGGCCCCACAAGCTCATGTTTGATGATACCAGCCCAAACCAGTACTCCACCTCCACCTTGCTGGCGTCTGAGTCGGACTGGAGCTCTCTGCCCTTTACCAATCCAGCCACGGGCCCATCCATCTGGCCCATCAAGACTCACTCGCATTTCATCAGTCCATAAAACCTTAGAAAAATCAGTCTTGAGATATTTCTTGGCCCAGTCTTGACGTTTCAGCTTGTGTGTCTTGTTCAGTGGTGGTCGTCTTTCAGCCTTTCTTACCTTGGCCATGTCTCTGAGTATTGCACACCTTGTGCTTTTGGGCATTCCAGTGATGTTGCAGCTCTGAAATATGGCCAAACTGGTGGCAAGTGGCATCTTGGCAGCTGCACGCTTGACTTTTCTCAGTTCATGGGCAGTTATTTTGCGCCTTGGTTTTTCCACACGCTTCTTGTGACCCTGTTGACTATTTTGAATGAAACGCTTGATTGTTCGATGATCACGCTTCAGAAGCTTTGCAATTTTGAGACTGCTGCATCCCTCTGCAAGATATCTCACTATTTTTGACTTTTCTGAGCCTGTCAAGTCCTTCTTTTGACCCATTTTGCCAAAGGAAAGGAAGTTGCCTAATAATTATGCACACCTGATTTAGGGTGTTGATGTCATAAGACCACACCCCTTCTCATTACAGAGATACATCACCTAATATGCTTAATTGGTAGTAGGCTTTCGAGCCTATACAGCTTGGAGTAAGACAACATGCATGAAGAGGTTGATGTGGACAAAATACTCATTTGCCTAATAATTCTGCACTCCCTGTATATCAAGGTCAGTGGTAATTCTTTTTGAAACTCTTGTAAATGCAAGAACTCAAGAATACAGTGATGTGGGAGCTTCAAATTGATATCACAGGAGTATCTACTAAAAATCTTGGACGAGTTTGAATGACGTCGACCTGTCTTTGAAAAAGGAACAACAAAACTATTCTTTCAGTGATCAAGATGATGAGGTTCCACAAATATTTGTACACTGGATGTAGGCAATATGTCTGTGAAGGTTCTCAGTCATCCAGGTCATCGTAGTCAAAGCAGCTTGCAAAGAAAAGCGTCTGGACTTCTTTAAGTTGCTTGAAGACGTTTCACCTCTCATCCGAGAAGCTTCTTCAGTTCTAAGGTCAAATGGTGGAGACTCCCAGATATAAACCTAGTGGGAGTAACCCCCCACAGAGGGACAAAAAGACCCCCTGATGATCCTCTAATTGCCTGAGCTCTGGCTGATTGGGACCCACACCCAGTTTCACACCTTGGCTCAGACGATTAGAGGATCACCAGGGGGTCCTTTTGTCCCTGTTTGGGAGGATACTCCCACTAGGTTTAAATCTGGGACTCCCCACCATTTGACCTTAGAACTGAAGAAGCTTCTCGGATGAGAGGTGAAACGTCTTCAAGCAACTTAAAGAAGTCCAGACGCTTTTCTTTGCAAGCTGCTTTGACTAGATGTAGGCTTATTTTTTGGTTAGTTTAATGTAGACAGCATGTTTGTTTTTCTGTTGTTTTGTGAACAGACGAAGAAAATGTACAGGAACTGTGGATCTGTTGAATTGGCAGCAGTGTATGATTATACTGAAATCTGATGTGAATGTGTTTTTCCTCTCAGCTGGAGAATTTGATGCTGGACAAAGACGGACACATTAAAATAACTGATTTTGGCCTTTGTAAAGAGGGCATTACTCCAGATGCAACAATGAAAACCTTTTGTGGAACACCTGAATATCTGGCTCCTGAGGTAAGGCACTGTCTGGTGACACATTTTAAACACACCTGTGTTGTCAAGCTTGTTTAATAGCTTGTTTAATATCATAGTTTGGTCCCCTGTCTCTAGATTTGCTGCAACTGTAAATCTATTACTCATATTTTATGTGCATAAGAAGCTGTCTTGGTTGAGCCATGTAAAGTGTTCTGTTTTTGTTTGTTTTTCCTGTGTACAGTAAAACAAGGTACGTGTGAGTTGATATGTTGACCAATGTCCAATATCACTAAGAATCATGCTACACCCAAGACACCCAATCACCCAAGTTTGTGAACTTGGGAATGAGGTGATGTAGACGTTTCATGCCATACCATAATCTCAGACTAGTTCAAATCTCAGTGACCTTGACCTCAAGGTCAGAGGTCACGTTTCCTGAAAATGTTGTCAATGCGACAACTTGAGCACAAGCCAACACAGGATTTCCAAATTGTGTCAAGAGGAGTACCACTGGCGACCACCAGTTGGTTTTTTATTTATTTATTTATTAAAACAGCTTTTACCATCAAGCCATTCAACACCTCAACTACAACACTTGAATACCGACACCACACTTCACAGGATGCACACAGAAGCTGTCCTAAAGTTTCTCAAGAACATACTACACTCTGCACTGGTCACTTCATTCTTATTAGTATTTAAATAAAAATAAAAACCCTTACTCCGTCCAATACTGTACTAACTGCAACTCTAAAATCTTGTACTGCTCAGTTTGTGCTACTGCTCACTCCTGCCACTTTATCCCTTGTGCAATATCCCATTACCCCCATTTCAATGGTCACATTTCTATTTAAGATTTTTTTATTTATACATTTGTGTATATATTTATATATATTTAGTCTGTTAATATTTGTAATATTTTTACTGTATTATACTGCTGAGTGACTTGTCTTCTGCACGTCAAACACATTTCATTGGAATGTTGACCCTGTGCTAGCTTGCATATGACAATTAAAACTGAAATTGAACTGAAACTGACTTATATTGGGCTCTACTATAGACAGATGGGCCACACCAGCAGAAGACCACATTGAGGCCACAGTTTGCATGGAATTAACAAATTAGACAGTAGAAGATTAGAAAAACATTGTGTAGTCTGAGTTTCAATTTCTGGTGAATTTTAGCTGGTATGGTTCCTTTTATCAGCTCACTGATATACACTGATATTATATCAGGCACAATTCGGACCCCTTAGTACCAGTTAAGCATGGTTTAAATGGCAGCTCCATTTAAACATGCAGATCACTTATTTAAAGAGTAGGAAGAAAATGATGCATTTGATTTTTTTACACACTTAAGAGAAAAGATTAGCCCTGCTCTTTCAAACAGAAGGGGTGATGTAAAAGATGACTGGTAAGAAGTTTGAACAGAAAAAGAAGAAAAAACATATAAAGAAGAAATATTTTTGACTCACAAAAGTGTGCCATTATTTGCACCAAATGCTATGGTGTGCCAATTCAGAGTTATGGCTTTTTACTGCTGTTGAGAAATCGGTCTCTTCTTCCTCAGGTCCTAGAAGATAATGACTACGGCCGCGCAGTGGACTGGTGGGGTCTCGGTGTAGTTATGTATGAAATGATGTGTGGCCGATTGCCTTTCTATAACCAAGACCACGAGCGCTTATTTGAGCTCATCCTAATGGAGGAGATCCGCTTTCCTCGGAACCTCTCACCTGAGGCCAAGTCCCTGCTGGCTGGCCTGCTCAAGAAGGATCCCAAGCACAGGTATTAGCCCAAACTACTACTCTGTGTGGATTATATTAAAAATGCCTAGTTTACTCTCAAATAATCTCATTTGGACTGACAGGTTAGGAGGAGGTCCCAGTGATGCCAAAGAAGTAATGACTCACAAATTTTTTATCACCATCAACTGGCATGATGTGGAACAGAGAAAGGTGGGGCTTTCTTTTTTTTAACAACTTATTTCTATTTATCAAGCGCAGTCAGACAGTCCAATCAGTCATGTCTTCATTTAACAGGAACAGCAGTTACAAGTGAGTCAAAAATGAAACGATGGATTCTGGCATTCTTGCAGTGTAGCATTCTTGTTGCTCCATAGCAACATGACATGAGAGAAATAAAAAGTAACCAAATTAATAATAACATTCATGAGGAATCCCAACACTCACCAGATGTACTATAAAGTAACCACATTCTTCACACACACTTGAATTTGGGTGAGGTGGAGTGACAAGCTCCTTACACTACGATGACGGTGGATGGCTGGGAACCTTCACAGACACGGATTTTAGATGTTCTCAAATTTTGATAAATGGTAAATGTCCATGGAAAGTAGCCATCAGGCCAATCCACATGTGATAGATTCCATTGATATTAGGTTCTTTTGGTGGTGCAAAGTGTTGATTTTTTCACCAACAACCTTTTGAATTGCAACCAAAAAGTTTGGCCTACTCATCAGGCCATATCAGAGGTTTCCTCATGCTTGTGGAATACTTGATGTATATTTTGCAAATTTTTGCCAGATTTCAATGTTTTTCTTTGTCAGGAAAGGCTTCCATCTTGCAACCCCACTCCATAGTCAAGGCAAATGTAGAATATGGGAGATTGTTTTCACACTTTTAGTTGCAGAAATGTCTTAAATACATAAGGACCTGGATGACTTCTAATTTCCTACCTCACCTCTGTGCTTGTCAGTGCAGCATTTAATATTTTGGACACTAAGATTTTATTACAGAGATAAGAGCATGCCGTAGTTAGAGAATGTAGTACGCTGCAGTGGTTTTAATCAAATCTATTTAATAGACTCCAATTTTTTCATGTAAATGAAGATTGTTCTGTACTTGCAAAGGTTAATCATAGAATTCCAGAGTGTTTCATGCTACAATTAATTCTGTTTACATTATATATGCCTCTCTTAGGCAGTGTCATTCAAAGGCATACGATACATTTTCATTGCTACGCAGCTGATACCCACTGACACACCAATTCGTTAAACTGTTTAAGATAATAAATGTCCTGCGTCTAAATTCTGATTCATTGGTCCTAAAAATCTTGGAAACACAGTGTCTAACCAGATGCATACTTTGGAAGCCATTACCTAGGCCTCCAGTAATACGGTGAGGAATCTTGGAGTTGTTTTTGACCAGGATGTTCTTGATTAAACAAATATGTAGCACTGCTTACTTATTTTGTGCAGTATCTTTAAAATTAAAAATATTATTTCTGATCTTGTCCTGAAAATGCATTAATGCATTTATTACTTCTAAGCTGGACTATTGAAATTCATTATCAGGTTGTCATAAAAACTCTTTGAAATGCCTTCTGTTGATCCAAAATGCTCCAGTTGGAGTACCAACAGGTACTAGAATGAGACAGCATATTCCTCCCATACTGACTTCACTTCATTGGCTCCATGTTAAATTCAAAGTAAAATTTAAAATCCTTCTCCTCACATACAAGTTGTTAAATATTTAGGCCCCATCTTTTCTTAAAGAACTCATAGTACCCTATCACCATAATAATAGAGCACTTTGTTCTCAGACTCCTGGATAAATTTATAATTAGTTTAATAAGTAGCTCTTTGAAGGAAATTTCTGTTAGCTGTTTCTGCGTAAAGCAAAAAGCTAATTGAACTAATAAAAATTAATACAAATATTAGCGCATGGGAATACAAGTGTTTTTTACTCCTTAGCCATAAAAGGCTGATTGGGTATTGTCATTACAAAATCTTGTGAATGCAATAACTCAAGAAAGAAGTCACCGAGAATTTTCAAATTAATCAGAATTTTTAATTAATCTCAAGTTTAGAGGTCAAGTTTTCTGAAAATCTTGTGATTGTGATAACTTAAAAACAAAGCGACGCAGGATTTTGAAATTGAGACCATAGGTGTATGTGCTACGAGGCTACCACTGGTGGTCGCCAGTATTGCTTAACATTATTGTGAGGCAACATGTTTCTAATTTTAGAGATATTGTGGAAATGCAAGAAACAGCCCTAAATATTTGTTTAATATGCACATTGAAGGATATATCGTAGTCAAAAACAACTCCAAGATTCCTTACAGTGTTACTGGAGGCCAAGGTAATGCCATCCAGGGTAAGTATCTGGTTACACATCATATTTCTAAGATTTTTAGGGCCAAAGACAAGAACTTTAGGTTTGTCTGAATTAGAGGTCATCTAGGTTTTTACACAGTAACTTTAATAACTACAGCATGCTCTGATCTGTGTAACAAGTATTGAATGCTGCATCAAGATAAGCACAGAGATGAGGCCATAAGATGATCATTTGTAACCTTCGTTAACCCTGCTTTTGTACTGTGATAAATTCAGATTTAAAACTCTCCAAATAAACCATTCCTGTACAGATAATTAGTTAGCTGTTTCACAGCTACTCGTTCAAAATCTTTTGAGATAAACAGCCTATAATTAGTTAAGACAGCTGGGTCAAGTAGTGGCTTTTTACCCCATTTCCGCAAAAGGGTATTGGGGTAATGTCATCACCTCACTGGGCAGGTCGGCAGGCTGGTAGCATGTACACCCAAGTTTGTGAATATGATAACTCAAGACCGAAGTGATGTAGGAATTTTAAATGGATACCCTAGGTATGAGTTATGCCAACTGCATTGTAGACCCTCCTCTACATGCATGTTATAAATCCAGCATGTTACCAAGTGATATCTGTCTCTTCCAATCCCTGGTACAGCTGACCCCCCTCTTCAAACCGCAAGTAACATCAGAGACAGATACCCGGTACTTTGATGAGGAGTTCACAGCACAAACAATCACACTCACTCCCCCAAACAAGTGTAAGTATCTTCTTGTTGGACCCGTCAGCACTGATCCATCATTATTCAAAGTTAATATCACGTTTCTTGGTCACTGACTTAGATTGCCTTCTTGTTACAGATAACAGTCTGGACTGTGAGGACCCCAGCCAAGAAGCTCATTTCCCCCAATTCTCCTATTCTGCTAGCATAAGAGAGTGATAGCATCTCTGCCACACACACACACACGTGTATAAACACCTTGGTTACAATCATACAGCCATAAAAATAAGTAGAGCTTTCATTTTTAAAGAGGTGTTACTCTTAGCACGATTTCAGTGCCTTACCTGGGAGCCTTATTGTTAAAATCTGTCTTTGTCCACAGAAAGGAAAAAGCCTATCCACAGTGACTATACTGTAACATAAGAACTTCACATAGCCATCAGTGCAGTTTAACAACATAATCAAGACCATCAGACCTACAAAGATGGTGCTGCTGTTTGTACCATTCTTTTTTTCTTTTTCTTTTTATATTCAATGAATAAGCCATGCAACTCCCCATGACACTTGTAAGTCCTCTAATTCAATCCTGGCTGTGACCTTTGGTGAAATATATGAAGAAGGGAGGAGAGCAGCAGTTAATCTTACTATTACACCAAAAAATCCTGCATGTCTGTTTTTTGAACATTTTTTTCTTCTGTATTATTAGCTCATTGAGTATTAAGGAATAAATTATAATATTATACAAATGGAAGGATGTGTACTGAACTCAATCCTTGTACAAGCTAACTGCAAAAAATGGACATTTGTCACTTTTTATTACTTTGTGCTTTAGAATTTTGGTCTCCCATGTGTTAGATATTGTCTTTGTAGCCTTTATCATTTAGCATTTTTGGTCCCCCAGAACACAAGTTCACTTGCTGAACATTTTACATCAGAGATGTCAGACTCATTTTACATCGAGGGCCACATACAGCCCACTTTGATCATATGGGGACCATACAAGTGAAACTGCACTTCTTTTCAGCATAAATATATTTAACTGCACATTTAATCCCTGAGATATCTTAGTATACAATAAAGAAGTGTGTTTTCAACAGAACATCTCATTATTTCTGCATGATATTTATATTAAATTATAGAAAAGGTTCTGGTAGCTCACTGCCCAGACTGTCCCATATCTGTAAAACATAAATCATTTGTTTGTTGAAATTTTTTTTCTTTGGTTTGTTTAAAAATTTAGTAAAAAAAAATGTTAAATATAATGTAAAAACGTTTTGATGCATGCTCAGTATCCAGGTAAGTAAATCCTAAAGGTTGATTCTGTTCATCTGTATGTAGTGTGTTCAGTGGGAGAAACGTTTCATCACTCATCCAAGTGACTTCTTCAGTCTCAGCTGACTCCAGGTTTCCCCAACCTTATAAACAGTACATTTGCACAATCACTGAAACTCGCCCACTAAATAAACAATGGGCTGTGAGGTCAGTTCCTTGATCTTTAATATGCAAATTTTCATGACCATTGATTAATGGCCATGAGTAACATTCACAGAGAGTTAGGGAATGCCTACAATCACAGCATTGTAAGATATGGAAAGATGTACCCTTAGGCCCCCTCCTCGATTCAAAGATGATCTTTCTATAGCACTTTCTAGTCTCTACTCTCACTGACCACTCAAAGCACTTTAGAATATAAGTCTCATTTTAACTACACATCTTACAACTAGTCATTTAGCATCAGATCCTTAATATGATCACTATCTGAGAGGCCTTTCAGAAGATGGGTAGAGATTATCACTCTGTGGATAATAGTTCAACAGAAATAAAAATTACATTTCTCAACAAAAAATTGCAAGGGCCGAGGCTCAGTCCCCAACACCCACAATGTCAAAGGTGCAGATAAAATTACTATTATAAAATGTTAAAATTGAGCAAGACAGACAGCAGTTAATGGGGCCACTGCAGCAACCTCACCACTAGGGTCACGTGGTAATGCAACACCCAGCAAAACCACGTGACTGGCCTTACCCACTGCGACCTACGTGACCCCCCTACACCACAGGGGTGTGAGTGATGTGTGATGGGCTGGGATCACAAGTTGTATGCCACAAATGTAAAAAAAAAAAAACGATAATGAAATTTACTACATGTAGACATATTCAGTTCTTTATAGCTCCGCAAACCTCAGTTCAATTATGTATTACAATTTCTCAAGTAACATAATTTGTTGGATGGCCATTTATCCAAGAATTATTTAGGATGTTGGGGTGCAACATCTTTACCAGGATTTTTCAAAGATGTAGTATAACATTTTCAGTAATTTAACCACATAGAGGCAGTCCACCAACTCAAAAAGCAATTCAAGTGGCATTATTCAACACAGGCATAAAAAATCGGACTGGCGCTTCATACTTCTAGACAAGAAGCAAACTGGTACGAGTTTTTGAATTCATACAAACCGTCCCTTTATTGTTCCACTCAAGTGTCCTACTGCAGGTTTTTGGCTGCTAATCTACTCTTTTACATCACTTCCACTTTCCCATACTACAAAACTGAATTCTGACATCATTGCTGTAGTCCAATTATTTTTCTGCCCACTTTCTTTAAGCAAGTCAGCCTCCACTCTGTATGCTTTAAATTGCACCACTGCTGTATTTCATTAGCCCTTGCAGACTCCAGTTGACCCATGGTGTGTGTGTGTGTTTTGTTTTGTTTTTTTGGTGGGGGGTCATTACATTGGATACTTTATTAGTTTTTTGTTTGTTTGTTTGCTTTTAGAAATTAAATCAAAATTAAATTCGTTACATTCCTCCAAAGTGCTCAGTGGTCGTGCGTTTGGTCTGGATTGATGAATAAGAGAGTATCTAAGTTGTATGTCAACTTTGAGATGATAGCCCCTTATGCATGCAAATTGATCTTCAGTAAACTACCTGAAGAAGCGTAATTAAATGCCCAAATGGTCAGAGTGGCAGCAATTAACTCATATCACGTTCAGAGGATGTAAGAATTACATACTCAGATAACACTGCATTTCTTTCTGCCATCTCTTTTGCAGAATGTCGGGGGGGGGGCGTGGCTTCGGTTTGCACACATGGGATTGTGAGGCTCACAGTTCTTTCCCCCAGCAAGAAATATGTTGCTGTGAAGAAGCCACGCCTCCATGAGCTGCCTCACATGTTGCCACACACATCCACTTCTCCTATGCTGCATTCAGGTTTTGTTGGGCTGTCAAAAAGCAGTGATATTTCTGTTGTTACTTTCTGTTCTACACTAAGTGCACTGAATATTATTGCGCTGATTTAAAAGTTACATGACTGCATCATAAGTAATGATAACAATAAACATTGCCAAATGTAACTGGTGGGGCACTTTCCACCGGACCACACTCCACTTTTTTCTCCTTTTTTTTCTTACAAACTTCCAGTATTGTTTGAAAAACATACAGTGTTGGGGAAACTAAATTGCAAGATACTACTTTATGGTGGATGATGCTTAATAACTGCAAAGCAGCTATAGGGAAAGATTTTATTTAAAGCTCCTTAGTTAGAATGTTGAGTGTCAAGGTTGATTTGTAACAGAAGCAACAAGAGTGATAGGGAGCATTTACAATATGGTAATGAGACCTGCTTTGGTGTATGGTTTGGAAATGGTGAAACTAACAAAAAAAAAACATGGGGTGGAGGCCCCATCTTATCTTAATGACTTTCTAGTCACCCCATTAGAGCACTTTGCTCTAGCACTGCAGGCTTACTTATTTTTTCCTAGAGTATTTAAAAGTGGGCAGCATGGTGGCACGGTGGTTAGCACTGTTGCCGCACAGCAAGAAGGTCCTGAGTTCAATTCCACCATCAGGCCGGGGTCTTTCTGTGTGGAGTTTGCATGTTCTCCCCGTGTTTGCGTGGGTTCTCTCCAGGTACTCCGGCTTCCTCCCACCGTCCAAAGACATGCAGCTTGTGGGGATAGGTTAATTGATTAATCCAAATTGTCACTAGGTGTGAATGTGCAAGTGAGTGTGAATGGTTGTCTGTCCCTATGTGTTAGCCCTGCGACAGACTGGCGACCTGTCCAGGGTGTACCCCGCCTTTCGCCCTATGACAGCTGGGATAGGCTCCAGTGCCCCCCGCGACCCTGAAAAAGATAAGCGGAAGCGAATGGATGGATGGATATTTAAAAGTAGAATGGGAGGGAAAGCCTTCAATTTTTAGGCCCCTCTTGTATGGAACCAGCTTCCAGTTTGGATTAGGGAAACAGTGATCATCTTCTTTTTAAGCCTAATCTTAAAAGTAGAGCTAGTGTCTGAGAAAGTTCAAGGATGTAGTGAAGGAGGACATGCAGATGGTTGGTGTGACAAGAGGCTTCTAGAGATACGTTGGTATTAAACCATATGACGATTGAAACACCTGCTGTGCTGATCCCTAAAGGGAGCAGCTGAAAGAAGGAAAAGAAGAAGGAAAAGCAGTTTGACTGCTGTGGTTGTCTAATGAATGTATCATCTGGACATGTTTTCAGAGCACCAGTGATGAAAGTGAAGGGAAGCACACCTGTCAAAAGAGGTTTCAGTAACAGCAAAGAATCAATTTCAAAATAGAAACCCTAAAAGTCCTTACTTTTCATGGTCAGTAGTTATTTTTAGTTTTCATTCCAGAACTACTTGCCTCGCTATGAATGTGCTTGACTTAATACTAATGCTAGTCAGTAACACTCCTCAGCAGTTCATCTGAAGCTACTTGTTTTTTGCGAATGAGTTGATAAAAATAAGAGGGCTGTTCAGCAAAGTGGATGAAAGATCTAGAAGAGAATAATTTTGTCTACTGATGGAAACAATTTAAACATGCTTTCCAAGGTGAGCTTTGTTTTAATTCGGTGGTTGGTAAGGCAGGTAAAATACCCACATGAAGAGTTTTTATGAGTTTTATAACGTGTATTTTGTAAACACAAGGTAGAAAATAAAACAAAACCACAACACGTTTGTCAGGATATTAAGATTCAATAGTACTTTTTTTTTTATTATAGTGAAGATTTAAAAGTACACAGCAAATCCAGCATGTCCAAATTAACACTGTCGGATTTGATTTCAACACTATTAAAGTGTCTATATGGGTCCACACCAGAAAGTGTTAATTTAACTCTTTTTGGAGAGTTGGTACGTTAACTCTGATTTAGTGTTAAACACCAAATCTGTCTGGAGTTGATAATTTAACACTTGGTGTTAAGAGTTTATATATTAACTCTCAAAGAGTATTTTAGTTTAACTACGTAAGAGTTATCTTCTAATTCATTCTAAAAAGCGGGAATTTTACTGTTCTGAACTTCTAGAAATTTTTTTTGGAAATAAACATTTACTAAAAAGACGCAATGGTTTTTGAAAAACATTTATTCTGAACTGTGCACCACAATTTCAAAACATCTTCTGAAAGATGTAACAGCATACATGTTCTCACTTTCATTAGAATTTTGTTTATGAAAAGGTCTGACATGGTAAATGCAAATAACAGCATTCTCATCACTTATTTCTTCAATACAATATGCATGTCCTTCATTCATCCCTTTGTGGAACTTCAACGCACTTCTGCTCTCCCCCATATTCCATCTTCACAAGCATATCCTGTGCGGAGATTGAATAAAAATTAGTTGACACTAATTAATGGCACAAATAATCCAGTAAACAATTGCAGCACAGAAAAAAAAAAAGGAATCCTCTTTGAGCCATTACTTGTGTAAAGTATTTTCCCAAAAGACAAGGACACAGGCAAC